TTCTGTTAAACAAATATTTATAGAAAATATCAAGTCTAGTTTGTCTTCATTGCATTTTTCCCCTGTATTAAGACCTTAAAACGTTGAGCTGCTGGGTATAGTGGCACACACCTTTAGTGACACACACCTCTGCACTTGGGGGGGCAAGGGAGGTGCGTGTCTGTGAGTTCGAGGCCTGCCTAGTCTACACAATGAGTTCCAGGACAGCCGGAGATGCATAGTAAGCCCTGTCTTGAAGCAAAAAGTTGTTGCTTTGAGCATCTGTCAATGCATAGAAGCAATGTGTGTGAAACAGATCCAGTGAGCATGCTTTCAGGGATCAACACTTAGCTGCCTCTGGGCAGATGTGAAAGTGCTCAGACCTTGAGGAGCATGTCAGCCAGTCTTCTGTTACTGTGACAAAATGTCTGAGCGAAACACTTTGAAGGAGGGCAAGTTTATTTCGGCTCAGTGTTTTAGTCCATGGTTAGTAGGCTCTGTTGCTTTTAGGCTTATGTCAGGGTCACGGTCGTGGCTGGAGCCCATGGCAGAGGAAGCTGCTTACTTTGGGGCAGTTAGGAAGACAGTAGTGGATGGAGGTAAGAGTCATGATATCTACCTCAAGTTATTGACCTAATTCCCTCCTACTAGGGTCCATCTCCTCAGGTTTCATCACTTCCCAATCAAGTCCCAAGCTATTGACCCAGCTTCAACATATGGTCTCTGGAGACATTTAAGACTCAGCCTATGTATAGCAGGTGGCTGGAGCAGGGAGCCTGGAGAGAAGAGACAAGACTGCCTTCTGGAGGGCAAGCTGTGCTGAGTCAAGAGAATGCACATGTCCTGAGGGGACAGCACACAAGAATCACCCAGACACACAGAGTTACACAGACGGACACACATACACAGAGTCACACAGACAGGCAGACACAGAGTCAGACCAGCATGCGTGTACAAACAGACAGATACACACACACACACTGAGAGAGAGAGAGAGAGAGAAAGAGAGAGAGAGAGAGCCATACAGACAAACACACATGCGCACACAGACAGGCAGACACAGGTGCATACCCACAGCACCTGCCTTTACCAGGGCTGGTAGGAATAGGTGAAACCATGCTACCACACGGTTCTCCCAGGGGCAGGGAAAAACAAAGAGAATGGAAGACAACAAAGCTTTTCCAGACCACACCTTTACAGCCACATTCTGGAGTGCAGGCTTTGGTGAGAATGAAAAACTCATCAAGTTCGGGGTTGTTTGTGTAATTGCAGCCAATTTCCTTAGTTAAAGCTACAATTACAAGATGAGGTTACTGGAGGCCTGGTATAGAAGTGCTGGCTGGGACGCTTCTCAGCTGCCTACCATGCGGGGGTGCCTACCACAGCCTTTCCCAGCGGGACTGGGTATTATTTTTTAGCTAAAGAGAGTAAGGCTTTGTAAGAGGTTCAGCGTTGCTTAGATGGTGAATGGGGGAGCTGGACTTGAACCACAGAGATCAGAACTTTCCCCTTCCGGTATGTTCCTTCCCCAGAGAAAGAAGAGTCTTGTCCTTTGTGCAAATGTTCTTGTCACTTGAAAATTTAGTCACTGCCTGGGGCAAGAGAAGAAAGGGGAGCCTGAGGGACATAGCATGGGAGTGAAGGAAGCTGCCCTTTCCCCCTCTTGCTGCTTGAGGAAGGCAAGATTTCTGGGAGGAGCACATTGCTGTGAGGCTTCAGCCTCTTTCATTTTCTTCCCTTCTCAAGTGCGGGCATCACTGTCTTCTCTTGGGAAAGCTGAGTGGCAAAGTGGCTGGGACGGACCCCAGTCAGATGCCAGCACCAGCGCAGTGACTGGGGCTGGCTGCGTAGGTTGACCCATCTGCCACTATACGGACTTGGGACACTGGGGTTTCTCTTTGCCTGGGAGTCTGGGTTTGAACACCGATACAGCTTAATCCCCAGAAGAACGAGGGTATTCTAAAAGAGCCACCTGCTGATTGCAGGAATGAAGGCTGTAAGTCCCACATGTGCCGAACTTCATACCACTGGACCTCATGAAACCATGACCATTCAGGGAGTGCCTGAGGAGACACTTAGATTGTGACCCATAGCCTGGCAGTTCCTGCCCCTGTGACTAGTCCAGGGTCATGGCCCAAGCTTTCAGCATGAGCAGAAAGGCTGCTCACACCACTGACAGCCCTGATGTCACTGAGGCTGTCACTTGGGAAGGTATTTATGCTGGATGCTGTCTTGGACATCGTCCTGCAAGATGGGGCTTCTCAGTCCCATCCTTTGCTAGAGAGGAAGTGGATGTTTGGAATGATTTGTTTCTTTTCCCCAAGGCCACAAAGCTGGTGACAGGTGCCCTGTCCTCCTGATTCACTGAGGGAGCCAAATCAGACAGGAGTTTGCTCAAACCCCAGTGTGACCAGTTTTCCTGAGCCCCCACCTGCCCTGTACTCAGAAAGGGAGCACAGAGAATCATTTCCTTTGTGCAGCTCCTCCTGCCAGAGAGGGGGGGCTGCCCTCCTGTGCCCTTTGCTTCCCTTAGACTGGTGGTTATCAACCTTTCTAATGCTGCGACCCTATAATACAGTTTCTCATGTTGTGACCCCAACCATAAAATTATTTTGTTGCTACTTTATTACTGAAATTTTGCTATGGTTGTGAATCATAATGTAAATATCTTGATATTCAAGATATCTGATATGCAACCCCATAAGTTGAGAGTCATTGTCAAGACACACACACACACCGACACATACATACACACCCCAGGCTGCCTGGCTGCTGTCCATTCTTTACACCCCTCCTTCCTGGATTCCCCTGTCCTTGCTCCTGAGGCCACTCCTCTTGTTTGCATCCTGCCTTTCTGTCCCATTACGCTTGGTCTCCCAATTTCTCCTCTTTACCCTTAAGTGTAGGATAGAAAAGGGAAGTGTTGCTTGGTCTTCTGCCTCTGTTCTCTGGTTTGCCCTCTCCCTGTGAGGCTCACCACTGTGGCTGGGAGCATTGTGGGTTTGTTTGTTTGTTTGTTTGTTTTTACTTGAGACTGTACTTATTTTGAGCCCTTTGGGCTCTAGCTTATCTCCTGTGGCCCCTGTATTCTCTTTCGCAAAACCCCAGTGCTGAAGACAGAAATACAGGAGTGTGTGCCCAGGTCTTGAGTGAGTCTGCCAGCAAAGGCTGCTGCTTCCTTAGGCAATGCCTGCATGCCCAGCCCCTCCCCGCCTCTGCAGCCCCATTGCCCCCTGTGCACCTTCCCTCCTCTCAGTTCCCGCACAGGGCTCACCCAAATGCCACACACTGGTTTTTCTTTTGTGTCTGTGTACTTCCTTCTTGCTACAACAACAAAGCACACACTTTGGGCCTTATCTGAGGGACTTGGTCTGTAGAAGTGGGAGTCTTTATTTTGTTTCTGATAAAAGCAACTTAGAGGAGGAAGAATGTGTCTTAGCTCACAGTTCTGCTGTTGCAGGGAAGTTAAGGCAGCCCGAAATAGAGGGTCACATCGCCCTCACAGTCAAGAGCAGACAGCAATGGATTGCTTGCATGTTTGCATTCAGACCCTTTCCTGTACTTACATAGTCCAGGTCCCAAATTTAAGGAATGGTGCCACCCACAATGGCTGAGCCATCCCACTTCAGTTAAAGGAATCAGAACATTCTGCCTAAACGTGCCCACCTGATCTAGACCATCCCTTCTTGAGACTTGTACTGTATCAAGTTGACAATTGAAGGTAGCAATCTGGAAAGTACATTGTATCAAGTTAACAACTGAAAGTAGCAATCACGGGTGCTTAGTCCATTAGTGCTGCTTTAACAAGATACTTCACATTGGGTCATTCACAAGAGGAATTTACCTCACACTTCTAGGGGTGCGAAGTCCATAATCCAGGTGCTGGGAGACTGGCAGACTAGTGAAGGCCTGTGCTCTGCTTCAAAGATTCTTTGTTTCTGTGTGCTATATACGAAAGGCACGGAAGCTCTTCTTTGAGATCTGAACGGTTCACAGAGGCTCAGCTCTCCTGACCCTGCTGCCTTCCAAAACCTTCCCATTCCAAGGCTGCTGCTCTGCTGTTGAATTTTCAACACAAATTTGAAAGATCAGAAGCATCTAAAATATGACATTATGTTCCGAGGAGGAGAAGGAGGCTCAGAACAGTTCATCATTCTGCCAAGGTGAAGGCCGGGTAGCGGAAGTCCCTCTCCTCATGTTGCAGTCCTTCCATCTTTCCTTTCGCTGACCAGGTTGAATCTCCTCCCCAGGCCCGAGGCCATGTAACTGGGCGCCTACACCTGCTATCCATTCCCCATAACTGCGCTCCTCCCAGCCACTCAGCACTCTGAGGTCTCCTTGAACTTGTCACAGGCTGCAGGGCCTTTGCATAGCTGTCCATTCTGTCAGTTCCCATGGCTAGACTCTTGAACTACTCAGCCCACGGCCTGTGTGTCATCCTGAGACAGTACCCAATCCTCTTGCTCTATGGTACCTGCCACCTTCCTGTGAAAGGACCATGCTTTATTCCTGAAGCTCTTCAGTTTGTCGAATGTCACCTTTCTTATATGTGTATATAAATTATGTGCATGTGGGTGCAGACACCTGAGGAGGCCAGAAGAGGAAGCCGATGCATCTGGAATTACAGGTCACTGTGAGTCACCTTAGAAGTGCAGGGAACCGAACTCAGATCCCCTTCATGAGCAGTACATATTCTCAACTGCTGAGAACCTCTTCAGCCACCCACTTTTTTGATGATCCTTATTGTTTATGATGACATCTCAGCGATATGGGAGAGGACTTCCAGAGAGAACCTGGAGTGTATTTTCCTGGTTAGGGCCAGGACTGTACAGATGATTTGGAGAGCAAATGAGTGGATCAATGAACAAACTTAGATCCATGTGAGTTTAAACACCAGATGCTGTTGGCCCCTTCTAGTTCCCCTGCCACACTGTAGGCCTCTGTCTGTCCTCTGTAGACTCAACCCATCACTTGGGAACCCCTCACTCTGGGCAGGCTCAGACTGTGTCTCACCCCCGCAGGTGATCAAAGAGGCCTACAGTGGCTGCGGCGGCCCCGTGGATCTAGAGGGTTCTCCACCACCCAGCGCCAGTGCCCCGGTGAACAAGGCAGAACTGGAGAAGGTGAGGGATGCCAGCTCTCATGTAGCTCTTTGTTTTGTTAATGGTTTTTATTTTCTGTGCCTACAGATGAGTTATGTAGATCTATGGGGGAATTGGTGAGACATTTCAGTACATGTGTGCAGTGGATTGGTTAGCCGGGGTATCTGTCTCCCTCACGTCTGCCATCACACACCTCGATCCTTTTATTCATAATTGCTAGTTTTAAAAACATCCTGTGAGAACTGCAGTACTTCGGTGGGCACGTCTTCAGTTCTGCCCCTGTCCATTTTCAGTGCCTTATTCGGGCTGAGCTCCAAGGAGTCATCTTATAGACTCGGTGGTTTGTTTTATTACCAGCAATGAATGAAGATGGAGACGTAAAGGAGGGAATGGCCTGGTTCACTCATAGCTGCTAAATGATGTCCGATTGCTGTGTGCCTTGCAGCACTCAGCAGGTCTGTGCTGGTTTGCTGCCTGCGAAGTGTTGAGAATTCGGTCCTTTAACTTTTGATATAACATTTCACTTTCCACCATACCTCACCAGGCCTGCATGACCACTGTGGAAATAATGTGATCCTTGTGTCCTTACAGAAACTGTCTTCAGAAAGGCCCAGCTCTGATGGAGAAGGTGTCGTGGAAAATGGAGTCACCACATGTAATGGAAAAGAACAAGGTGAGATTCTAACACACATGCCAAGAATATCTGAGCCCCACAAGCCAGTTGCAGTGAGAGGTGTGACAGTGTGGGAAGACTTTGTGCTCCAGCCGTGCAGGCACCACCACCCTCCATCCCGAGCCCAGAGCCTTCTTCTCATCCCACCTGCCTTTAAGTTCTCATCAAACCATTACAAACACATATACCACAGAATTTATAATCTTAACACATTTTAAAGTGTGTAGCCATCGCATACACCCATCTCTGGAACTTTTTTTTCACAAATCAAAACCTTGTTTCCATGAAACTCAAGTAGTCCCTCACCCCTTCCCTAGCTCTGGCAACGAGTGTTTCTATGGATCCCTCACAGTGGGGCTCTCATGCGAGTGGAATCCTGTTGTACTCGTTCATTTGCAACTGGCTTATTTTACCCAGTATCATATTTTCAAGGTTCATCCATGTTCCTTCCTCTTCAAGACTGAATAATATTCCATTATATGGACCGCATCCTGCCATCCATTCATCTACCAGGGGTACTGTGCTGCTTCTGACCTTTGGCTATAGAGAGCAGAACTGCTGTGAACACCCATGAGCATGGGCTAAAGTCTCTCGTTTCTAAGCTTGACTTCATAACAATACAGATGACATACAGTAAAACCCACCAACTTTGGTTTAACAGTTCTATGAACTTTAGTGTACAACAAGCAGCCATCCCCACAACTGAGAGAGAGAGAGAGAGAGCATTTCTGTCATCCCAGTGTTCCTTCGAACTCCTCTCTGCCACCTTTGCCCCACGCCATCTCAGGTAGCCACTACTATTTCCTTCCTGTACCCAGGATCTGGGGCGTATCACCTCTTGGGGGTTTCTTTCCTGTAGTCTCCTCAGTGCACCTTGATTTCCAGTGTGGTTGCTGCCGCATAGCATTTGCTATGGAGATGAGTGCTGCTAGTTTCCCACTGACCAATCTCAGGACACACAGCGATTCTGGGGACATTCTGATTTCCAGGTAGGACTTTATACAGACATGTGACTCCATGTCCCCCAGGAACCTATCCAGATGTGGGCTTGCAAGGTCATATATCCTCATGGGATCACTGTCCCTATCTGGCCTGCAGTCTTTACCTGGTATTGCGTAGATGTGTGGTGGTACAGAGCTGTGGCCTCCCCAGTGGGTGAGCAGTTTAGCACGCTCGTTGTCTGTGTGTCTCTTTGCTAGAACGTCATCTCAGATCCTTTGATCACATTTAGATGGGGTTGTTATTGAGCTTTTGGAGACTCTGTGCATACTCTCTCTCTCTGAGTCACTTATAAAATCTCTGTTTCCTGCAGGTTGTCCCCATCTGTATGGCTGGACATTTTATTCCTGAGTATGTGCTGAAGTGAGGGGTGTGGCTTGAGGGTATGTGGAGGAAGCCAGAGCTCTGTGGACCCAAGAGCTTGCTCAGGGAGCCTGGGGCCCCATCTGTATGGCTCATGTGTGAGTAGTGCTCCTACCTGGGAATGAGTCATGTGCTGTGCCGGCAGCTGTCCCAGCCCTGAGAATTCTGGAACCCAGACAATGTCACGGTTCACGACGGAAGGTCACACTGTCTGTTCCTTCATTGTGGTTTTTCTAATGCAGTCTGGGCTGAATGTAATTTTAGTCCTGCCCTTTGAAAACATAACCAGGCATGTTATATAGAATGAAGATCTCAGAGCTGGAAACTATCTTTAGCTTTTGCTCTGAGGTCTCCAGGCTTCTGCTTTGTGATTTAGCTTCTTCCTCTCTTTTTGTCTGTGTTTTTGTTGTTGTTGTTGTTCTTTTTGTTGGGAGACAATCTTTTCATGCAGGCTGATCTCAACCTCATGGACTCCAGAGGTTGTCCAGACTCAGTCTCCCAAGCTGGGACCTCAGCAGTGACATAAGCCAGGTTATTGTTTTGCTGCTGAGGTGCAACAGACGTGGTGGATAGCTCAGGCTTCTTGCTTTATGCCCCCCCCCCAGCCCCCGTGAACCCGTGTGACTGGGATCTATGGAGTAATGCATCTGTTGGATGTTGATGTAGGCCTTGTATCTGTCCCTAGGTCTCTCCTGCTTGCTCTTTAAAGAGAAAATTCTTTATTATTTATGTGTGAGTGTATGCACATGTGCGTGAGGTGCCTGTGGAGGCCAGAAGATGGCTTCTCTGGAGTTAGAGGGGAGGCACCTGACGTCAATCCTGGGATCCTCTCTAGGAGAGGCACATGCTCTTAACCCCCAAACCATCTCTGCAGCCCCTCCTTTTCTCTGTTTAACCAAAACAACCTGTGTGTTTGGGAATGAGCAGGTGAGCTGGCTCGCACATTTTCCTATTGTCTGACACTGTGCTTTGTGTATTATAGCCGCTTGTCAAAGATCACAAAGGAACTTCATAGTCCAGATGGACCCTAAGCTCCTCTTACCCTTGTTCTTGATCTGTTTAGCTTGGAACACTGTGATGGTGTTTTTAGCGGTCACAAAGAGGAATCCTGAGCTTATCCATTCTGCCTACATGCTGTGGTCTCACCAGAGAAAACAGTGATAAAAGCTCTGCTCTGAGATAGCCATTTCTTCTTTGAAGATGGACTCTGTATAGACACTGGGGAGTCAGTGACCATCCTATAGCAGATGTAGGGAAAGATGATGGAAGTCCTGGACTGTAGATACTACACTGCCCCAGCCAGTGCTGTGTGAGGACTATTTGAGAAATAGTCTTCAATGGGGGTGTTTGTGGGTAGACTTGTTGAACCAGAGGTCTGATGATGTCACCTCTCCCTCCCTTCCTTCCCCTAAACTAGACAAAAAAAAAATCATTTCACTTTCATTTCTGTAGAAGAAAATGGGCTGCCTAGGTTTGTGACATTCACACATTGAAATGTATAACATTCCCTTTCTGTCTCTGTCACTAAGGCATTGGTCTTGGCCATCTATGCTCTTTGAACCCTTCCATTGTTCTGCTGTGTAACCCCACTGACTTGGGAGTTCTCTATTGACTTTTGAATTTGATAATGTGCTAAATCCTGCCCCCTTTCCAGCAGAATAGCTTCAAAGTGCCCTTAATGGCTTCTCGGTCATTTCCCTACACGGGACTTTTCTACATGACCTAAGGTCTGATTCTTCTCTGCCTTAGGGCTTGGGGTCCAGCAAGCACTTTGCTGGCAGGAGCTGATCTCAGTTATGCTGAGTGTGAATCCTGCTCTCACTGAGTCCTGCTGCCTGAGTGGAAGGGTTACCTGGAGGCAGAGCCTTGAGGAGCATGTCTCCAGTCACTTCGCTTCCAGCTTGCCTGGGAATGGGAGGCAGTGAAGCTCATCTGCAGGTTCCTGGGGAGCCGCAATGGAACCAGACACTGTCGATTCCACTCCCTGTGGCTTGGCAGGAGTGAAGTAGAATTGACCCAGCTCTCTGGACCCAGGCTTCTGTCTGGTATAATGAGAAGAGCTGAGTCTCCCCACCAAGGCCTTGGATAGGTTCTCATTACTCAGGAAGTAGATGTGTGTCTAAGAGCATGGAACAGGGGGTGCACAGGTGTTCCCATGGGTATTTCCCTGAAGATCTCAGTAGGCCTTAATCTTGTTTACTGAAAACAACTCAAAAATGTCTGTGTTGTAAAGACATATACTGCAGGCTGGGGTGCGAACAGCAGAGGCTCAAGATCAAGGCCACAGGCATGGTTTATCGCTGGGAGACTTTCTTTCTGGCTTGTATACTCACTTGTATACTCTGTGCACAGACAGTCTGTAAAAAGGCACTACTGTTTAATCCATCATTCACACCCTGTGGCCTCATTTGACCTTCGTTTTTAGAACTCCTGTCTCCAAATACAGTCACGCTTGGGGTCAGAATTATGAGGCCCGGCCAGGACCATTCAGTATAGAATGTTTTGTTTGCCCTCAAATTCCTCATGGCTTCATCTTTTTAGTGACAGTATGGCAGCTTCCTCCTTAGACAATGCTACTTGTTTTTTACACCAGAGGAGAGGCAAGGATTTTACTGATCTTATGGGGTGGGACAGGGTGGAAGTAGAAACAGGGATTGTTTCCTCCTCTTCACTGGGGAGGACTGGAGAGGGATGCTTAATGTGTGATCACCCTTGTTTAGAGGAGGGGTGGGAATTATTTCATAGCTTAGCACATGGCCCTGGATGTTGTCTCTGAAATGCTTCCATGTGTTGTGCTGGGGTTCATTTGTTCCTGAAAAATGAGAAGGGATCCTGGATGCCCATTGCATTCTAAAATGGTTTGTGTTGCCTAAAATGTTGCCACAGAAGGTTAAAGGGTTGAACTAGGTTTGTATAGTGACAAGGTGATGCTGTATTGGTCTTGGTGCAGAACGGCACCTCAGTGGGGCTGTAACCCAATGGAGGAGACCCTTGGGAAAGGGCCTTGCACTCTGGCTCTAGCACATGGTACCCTAATGAGACTGAGATGGATAACTAGCCTTTGCCCAAAATTGTTCTTGAGTGGAAGGATCAGGTTCCCCAGCTCTGAGTGTGTCCTTACCCCTTCATCCTGACTTCTCTGAGTCTTATCCTCATGATTCAGCTGGATTCAAGGATGAAGCCTGAGTAGGAGCAGATAGGGGACACCACTTGTCAGTCAACCTCCCTTTGTGACATGGTGTGGAGAAATGAGAACTGCCCTATGTCAGAACATGGAGCCATTATCACCCTGCAGGGACTCTGAACCAAGACTCTGCACATGGAACCCAGGATTTCCAGGTCTTCTGGTTTTGCAGGGAAAGCCTTTTTTTTTTTTTTTTTGTATAAAATGTTTCTATGTTTATAGGTTGATAGTTCATTCCTAGCCATCACTGTCCTGGCCAAGTAGGAGATGATGGCTTGAAGGGTAGATCTCTGGTCTGATAGCCCTGTATAGGGAATCTCAGAATAGTGTCCAAAATGGACAAGAGAGGCCCCCAACAAGGACTCACTTTCCCCTTCTTTCCTTGAAGACCCGCCCCTTGTCAGCTGCTGGGGCAGTGGCACCAACTCTTCTTGGTTCCTTGGGCCCTTCCCTCTTCGCCTTTCCCAGACTGATAATATGTATCAACTTATCTTTCTGCCTAGGAGTGTCTCCCAATGAGACAGACACAACTCATTCTTCATGTCTGAGAAGTCAGCCAGAAATCCACCGTGGGCAGGCTCTGTCTGACCGTTCAGCTATTCTCCCAGAGATTTGTATCTCCATGTGGTTCTTGCCATCATTTCTCATCTTTGTTGCCATGAGCATGTCATGTATGTCTGGTAGTGTACATGTGCCTGTATGCACGTGAATACATACCTGATCCTCCCTGGAGTACAGGCTTCCTGAGTGCAGCCATATCCTTCTGCGACCCCAGCATATGGACCCCCAGATGGCTCATCATAGGTGCCCATGTGAATGATGAGTAGCACTTTGGGGAGGAAGAAATGCCTGGTGATTAATGCTGAGATTTCCCCACTAACCATGAATGCCTAAGACACACTTTTGTGTTGACAGTGAAGAGGAAGAAAACCTCCAAGTCGGAGGCCAAGGGAACTGTGTCCAAGGTCACTGGGAAGAAAATTACCAAGATCATTGGCCTGGGAAAGAAGAAGCCATCCACAGATGAGCAGACGTCATCAGCGGAGGAAGACGTGCCCACCTGTGGTAAGACCCTGCCACGTGCCAGCAGGCTGTCGCTGGGTGCGCTGTGGGGCCACCTGAATTGTGGGAACTGGTTTGAGCTTTTAGAATAGAAGAATCTTCATGGGCTTGTGATGCTCTCCTCGTTCTTTCAAGGTAAAAACCAACGTTCTCTGTTATATGAGAACACCTTCCACTCCGGTGTTTCCAACTAGGACACAGGCAAAGACAGGCCAAGGCTCTAGAACCGAGTCTCCTTCTAGTCACACCTTGGGTTTAAGCAGCAAATCCAGAGATGGCTAAAGCCATCCCACAGTCACAGTGTCACAGTGCTGTCTTCTGTCTGGTTTTTTCTTTTTTTCTTTTTTAAGCTGCTTTGTCAGGATTAGGTAAAGCATGTGTTATATAAAAGCCACTAAGCTAGTCTTGTACGCCATGGTGTCCGGGCTAGAGACTACAGGGAGGAACCAAACAGGGAAAAGAACCAGAGGAATGCATGCCAACAGCCAGCTATGACCACCAAGGGGAAAGCAAAGAGATGGAGGGCGCTAGCATAACACCTAAGTTAGGCTGTGGTCAGGCTGCTGGGTGCAGCCTCCATGAGAGTGGCAGTGATATCACACTGTAACGGTCCCAGTAACCACACTTAGGAGAAGTGCATAGCTCTTTCAAGGAAGAAAACTTTGTAAGTGGGAAGAAGGGTTGGCCTTTTGCTTTTATTTTATTTTTCATAGTACTAGAAGTTCTCTAGGCTGGTTAGCATCCTACCACCAGGCCCTTTCCTTCCTTAAAAAAAAAAAATCCATGGAGCCTGGCATATGGGTACATCCCTGCAATCCTCACATCAGGGAGGCAGAAGTGTAGAGGGTTGCCGCCAGTGAGGCCAGCCTGGGCTATGTAGTGAGTACTGACTAGTCAGGGCCTCAGAGCAAGACCCTATATCAGAACAAAACAAAAACAGCATGGGCTGTAATTGTCCTTGTATGTTGCAGAGCTGTTGCAGGCTCTGCTTCCCATTGGTGAGAACACAATTCCTTCATTCAAAGCCATTCTGTTTACAACTCCCTCTGTCCCCTTGAGCATCCTCCTTGAGGGCTGACTCCGGAAAGAATCATAACCTCTGCAGGTACCAGGAGCCAGGTGCACTGCAGATTCCTAGGGTGTCTCTCATCAAGTGGCTCTTGGGGACAGGAGGACAGAATCGGGTCAGCTGGTAATGATGGTTTCCACATTCCTTTCCATGAGGAGAGAACTTGGCCTCAGAACAGCCAGCTGAACAGAGCTGTGACGGAATGGGGAGGGTCTGGCGACACTGCCACACTGCTCCTGGCCAACCTCCATCTTCTTGAAGCTCTTGGGGACATAGTCTTTCTCCCTGCTTTTGTCATCAGTCCTTGTAATGACAGCAGTAAGGAGTTAAAACGAGTTTTGCTTCTGCCCCCCCCCCCCCACTTCTCTAGGATGGTGGAGGAGATAGAACTTATTTTTTTAGACAAGGTCTCACCAGGTAGACCAGGCTGGCCTTAGACTCACAGAGATCTGCCTGCCTCTGTCTCCTGAGTGCTGGGGTTAAAGGCCTGGCAGGAGGTAGAAAGGCTTTTGCTAGGAATGGTTGCTTATTAACCAGGTGGGAGAGTAGGAAGCTGCAGTAGGGGTCCTCTTGCAGAGACCGCTGATGCTCACAGAGGGGAGTGACTTGCTCCAAGTCTCAGGGCTCATTGAAGACAGAACTGGTGACCTTCCCCTCCCCCAAACTTTTTCTGACTCTCTGTAACTCATGTCCAGTTCTACACTTCCTTATCAGAAAAGCACAGCCTCGCAGGCCTCCCCGTAATCTGAGTGGCTGGTCTCCATTCTGGCCATTTTCTTGAGAGCCTGGGTGATCCTGAGAGCAGGCGCCCGAGACAGCTGCTGTAGGCAGCTCTGGCCTCTGCCGAGACCGTGCCCTCTGTCCACACAACTCTAAAATTGCCCCCACGGCACTTTGGCAGAGCAGGGTTAAGGGGAAGCGTCTCTGGGAGAGCAGGGAACAATGGCCATTTTCAGCCCTTCAGTGCAGCTGCAGGAAAGGACAGGAAAGGAGCTGGACTCAGGCCCGGGGGACTGGCCCTGCCAAGCTGAGCCCCTGCAGCTGCTGGGAGACAGCACTAAGCTGATGGGCCTGAAGGGCAGAGCAGCTGAGCAGGCAGAAAAGACTCCCTGGAGTTACTGAGCTGAGCCTGGTGCCTGTCTACGCACTGCAGTCTGCTTATGCTGGGTGGGGTGCTCTGGTTTTCTGGGGTGCTTTTGCAAGGTTTTCATGGGCTGGGGAACAGACCTGTAGAAGCAGCTGGGCTGCCCTGGGTGTTGTCTCCGTCCTCCTGAGAGGCCTTTGAGGGATGCGTTACTGTTTCTCTGAGCAGCTTTTTCCACAGTCCTCCAGGTTATGTACCCAAGAGATGCACCAAGATGCCATACCCAAGGGGGCTTTCATCTGGCCTTCCATGGGCTGACAAAGTCCCAGGGTTCTTATTACTCTGTAAGCGAAGCTGTGAGACCTTCTTCCAGCTCTCCTTTCTGTCTACTCACCCGTCTGCCCCACACAGGCACCTTACACTAGCCACACCAGCCTGGGCACCTTCTTTCTCTACCCACCTTGGAGCTCAGTCTTGTCCAAGCCTCCTATTGCATTACTAGATTATGACACTGCTCGCTGTGTCCCCATCACCCAGCACGGGACCCCCGAAAATGGTAGCAAAGCTACTCACTGCTTTGGGGATTCAGGCTGCTTGTCTGGGACGTGAGCTCCAACAGTCCCTTGGTTTCTGTAAGAGCGGGAGGTGAACTGAGCAAGTGCTGAGCTCCCATGTTATTGTCACTATCCGTTCATCTGCTGTGTTTTAAAGCCAACAAAACACATCCGTACATTAGCCCTGCTCAGGCTCAGGTGAAAATGTACAATCTCAGGCTTATCTCAGAATTATAAAGTCAACTTTATAATTCTAATGGAACCTTGTTTATTCTTGCCTTCCTGTAGCATTTGGAATGGAAAGAATCTCAGAATATTAAACTGAAATTACCCAGTTTTTAAGATATAGTAGTACCTTACTGTAATAGCCCCAGACATAGAAAACAGCAACCTGGGTCAGGCTGACACAAATATCCATGTTCTTTCTATGACACATAACTTTCAGCCTGGCTGAAGCCGATTATACCACGGCCCAAGTGATTTCAACTCTACAAAGCCAAGAAAAAGTGGCTTCTGGAAGGGGGCCAGGAAGGAGAGATACAATGTGGGGTCTTGCTATATTGCCAAGGCTGGTCTCACACTTCTTGGCTCAAGTGATCTTCCTGTTTCTGTCTCCTGAGTAGCTGACACTATACTTCCATGCTTCCATAACAGGTAAATAACTGAAGACTTTCTGTATGTCTATGGCAGTGTGGATTGAATGCAGAGCTTTGTGAATGGTAGTCATTCACTTTTTTTTTTTTTTTTTTTAAGGCAGGGTCTTACTAGTTGCCCCAGTAGGCATCAAAGTTGGGATTTTCTGCACCATCAGATATAGTAGTATTAATCATCTTTATTCTCATGGATCTTCAAACACTAGGAATATAAGTCACAATCACTTAGAAAATTGAAAATAAAAACACTCAACCAAGTGTGGTAATTGTGGCGTACACCTTTAATGCCAACACTCAGGAGGGAGGCAGAGGCAGGGCAGCCTGGTGCAGAGCTAGTTTCAAGACAGCCAGAGCCACACAGAGAAACCCTGTTTTGATTTGCCTACCACAGAGGGCCTCTGAAAAAGTCTACCCATCAGGGTATAGAAGGACATACTCTAGCCAAACTTTGGGCAGAGTGCAGAAAACCTTATGGAAGAAGAAGGAAATAGAAAGACCTGGAAGGGACAGGAACTCCAAAGGAGAGCAACAGAGCCCAAAATCCTGGGCCTAGGGGGTCCTACAGAGACCAATACTCCAACCAAGGACATGCATGGAGAGGACCTAGACCCCTGTTCAGAGGAAGCCCATAGGCTGCTCATTTTCTAAGTTGGTTCCCTAGTAAGGGGGGCAAAGGCTGTCTCTGACATGAACTCAGTGGCTGGCTCTTTGATCACCTCCCCCTGTGAGGGTGCAGCCTTGCTAGGCCGAAGAAGATAATGCAGCCAGTCCTGATAAGACCTGATAGACTAGGGTCCTATAGAAGGGGAGGAGGCCCTCCCCTATCAGGGGACTAACGGAGAGGCAGAGGGGGAAGAAGAGGGAAGGTGGGTGGAACTGGGAGATGAGGGAGGGGGCTACAGCTGGGATACAAAGTGAATATATCAAGATAAATAAATAAATACATAATACATTAATACATAAATAAAAGCAAAATGGAAAACTAAACAATAAAACCCTCATATTATTGTCCCCTGAATCCCCCAGCCTCGGGAGCCCAAGCCTTCACGTCCTGGCTACACTCTGGCACCCTCTGGTGGCAGATGTCTGCTTCAGCTCAAAGATCTGGCTGGTCTCCTCAGCAAGGCGGCGGGTGTTAGTGATGAGAGTGGGGTCCACCCTTTGACTCTAGATCCCTGCCTGGGGAGCTCTGCCATTTTCTGCCTGGTCTCACTAATCTCTGTGTTTCTTCCACAAGAAAACGAAAACTTGGGAAACCCCTTGAAAACCGTGGGGGCACAATGGAGACCAGTTGACAAACACAGAACCATGGACCTGTCTGAGCTTCCTGTTTATGTGAGCAGGCCTGTTACACAGGGAAACACTCTCCCCCCACCCCCGCCTGAAACTTAAATCCCAAGAATGTATTAGAATATGGTAATATCCCATGAAGTCATGCTCTAAATTAAGGGAGGACCTGTCTCATGCAATCATTCATCTGTGGCTGAACTGTTGGGAAAGCCGCAGCATCTGGTGACTGCAGCCAGACTCCATCTGGAGAGAGAGAGAGCACTGCAGAGCCGGTGCCGCTGTCTGTTCTGTTGGCGGGCGGTGTCCGAAGACAGCTGTGTGCACGTGGAGAGGCGGCTCCCCACTGTGAGCCCTAAATCAGAGTCATGGGCAATCTAGGGGTGTTGCTGCTAGACTCCCCGAGCCTGTGTTCGTCTCTCACTATACTCACCACTGACACAATGCCTGTTAGCTGAAGCTGCCTGCCTGCTTTAGGGTCTAAGGCCATCTGCCTGGCCTAGTATCCGAGGCTATCTGCCTGCTTTAGTGTCTGAGGCTGTGTGTCCAGGAAGGTATCTAGGGCTATCTGCCTGGCCCTTGCCCCTGAGGCTATCTTCCCAGGCTGGTGTCTGAGGCTATCTGTCCAGGCTGGTCACTGAGACTGCCTGGCTCTGGCCCCTGAAGCTGTCTGCCCAGGCTGGTGTCTCAGGCTATCTTCCTATCTTGGTGTCTGAGGCTCTACACAGTGTGGTCAGTAGAGGTCCTGTGATACCTTCTAATCCTTGCCCAGGCCCAGCCAAAGGCAGTTCAGCTGCTGGCTCTGCAGAGATGCATGGGGCACGTCCTTTCCCTGTTTGGCAGCTCCGTGAAAGTCCATGATGCCCTAGAGTTCAGTGCTTTTTTTTTTTTTTTTTTTTTTTTTTAAAGGCAGGGTCTCATGTGTCATGCAGGCTTATCTTGAACTCATATCCTCCTACACCCATTTCCTGAGTACTGAAAATATATGTATGTGCTACCACACTGGGTAGTTTGTCTCTGTTTTTCTGTTGAGACAGGACAGGATATTATATAGCCCAGGCTGGCCTTGAACTCATGATGCCCCTCCTTTCCCTGCTGCATGCTGGGATCGCAGGTGTGTGCCTCCACGCCCATGGAGGGTGGCTCTCTAACTGTTTAAACAGCCCATGCATGTGTGAGCCTTGCCTACAGAGTATATCGAGTTACTGGGGGGCCTCTTGCCCTCCAGTTTGTGGGCTTGTGCTCAGAAAACACTTAGGCTCTGTTGACACAGGTGATGCCTACTCAGAGGTCCAGCCTTTGGCTCTCCGAGGGATTGATTGCTGTAGATGGCTTTCAGAACACAGAGAGCGGACGGTTCCAGGGAGATGTTCATCTGACTGTACCTTTAAGCAGGGTTTTCCTCTTTCTTTTAAAATAACAATAAGTCAGAATGGTTCCATCTACACGCTAAAATCCATTTTAAAAGACTGGTATCACTTAGCTTCAGTGTTCCTCAGGATGAAGAGCAGGTGAGGCCTGCAGCCAACTGGGAATAATCCTCCTTATCTGTCTCCTCTGATTTCATATCGGCATCAGGTCTGACTGTGGCCTTTTGTAGGACACCCCATATCTGAGGGTGCCGTCTCCTTCGTTGGAGAAAAATGTCTAAAAGCTACCCTAAACACAGAAAGTGGTGAGTCCCCTGGTCTGGAGCCCACAGGCTTCTTTGTGTCTGTGACTTCAAAGATTCCTTGACTAGTGTGGCAGACGACAGTCCCTGTTCAGCAAGAGATGTGCTTTAGAGTGTATGGGTACAGGAGACCCCCCCCCCCCGAGCCGGATGAGGACTCACAGTTTACAGATGTGGGTAGTTATCTTGAAAATAGTCATCAGAAATGTATAAAACTTCATCCGGGCACTGAGCATGTGAGCGTACATGTGCAAGGATTGAAAGAGGCTGAGCAACGCCTCGTATCCTTCACCATCATTCTTTTCACCTGCTGGCCATTCTCCTCCACTGTCTAATCCTTCCTTAACCTCTGAGTGGTGGTGTCTGCAGTGTGGGACAGTTGGAGGCCGTAGTAGGCACAGCTGCCATAGTTGCCGCAGTCACTCTGGAACCTCCAACTCAGGTCTCGGTACTTCTAGAAAAATGCTCTTTGTGTTTATGAGAGCCCCCAATGGTCATTTTCTCTCTTAGGGAATAATTCTCCCTGTAATTCTGTCACTTGTGACATCACACGTCTACGTGACACACTGAAGATACGGTACTGTGCCAGAGACATCAGGAACACCGGCACACAGACCCAGAACTCAGGCAGTCAGGTTTCATCTGGGTTAGTCTCCCTGTGAGACGAAGCCCTTGCTTCCACTGCAGGGGTGGAACATAGAGGCCAGGAGGAGACCTCGGGCCTGTGGGCGGGAGCTCATACCAACTACCTTCCGTCACTTGCTGGAGCACATCCAGCCCTGGGGAGCTTACCACTCCCCAGGCCTCCCACTTCCTGGAGAATTTTCATCTTCAGATACTTTTATTTCTGTCTTCCATGCCCTGCTCGTGGCATTTCTCTCCCGTTTTATGCAGGCAGCTTTCAGTCCCTTCTAACCAACCCACACCCAGTGTCACTGTCTCAAGGGGCTTTCGAGGTTTCCGTTGAAACCTTGATGATGAAACTGGTTCTTACACCATGAAATGGGTTTTGCACCAGGGAGGAGCCTCCAGGTCCTGTTAAAAAGCTAACTGCGTAATTGTGACTCTTCTTTCTTCATGAGCGTTTAAAATGTGGTGTGTTTCATGCATGGCACATCCGTGGGTCAAGGACATGGGTAGGTCCCACTGGTACCTTCGCTTCCTCAGGAGGCTGAGCTGTGGCAACTTCTCCTCGTAGGTTACCTAAATGTGCTCTCCAACAGCCGCTGGCGGGAGCGCTGGTGCAGAGTGAAGGACAGCAAGCTCGTTCTCCATAAGGACAGAGCTGACCTGAAGACCCACATCGTCTCCATCCCTCTCCGTGGCTGTGAGGTGATTCCAGGCTTGGATTCCAAGCACCCACTGACCTTCCGGCTGCTTCGAAATGGACAGGAAGTGGCCGTGCTAGAGGTATGGGATTCCCTGGGGCCGCTCTCCAGAGAGGTGTGCACAGGTTCTGTCAACACCATGCCTAGGTCCTCTGCAAAAGACCCTAGATCCCTTCAGGGTCTAATTTTGATCCAGCCCCTTCCCTCTCTTGGCTATTTCTGTTTTGCAGTGTCTTCTGGGTTTCTCTTTTGGAGAGTCAGGGGCTGCACAGGCTTCCTAGAGCATCGTGCGTGACAACTTTACTTGCCACAGTTAAATACCCGGCTCCGAATAATGGGCCACCTTTTTAAAGTGCCCAGGCAATAACTTGTTGAAAAATCTCCATTAAAATACTTCTTCTAAGCATAGGCTGCTAGGGCACACGGGGGACTGTTTCCTTCACTGGTCCTTTGGAAAGCTCTCTGCCTGTTTTCTGATTGAAAAGTTATCTTAGAATCCCTGGACCCTGCGGCAGGATCAGGGATACAGTACACGGGAGCCAGGAGCACCTTGAGCTTTGCTAGCCTGTGGCTAGATGTGTGCCTTAATCATCTGAGTGGTTGCTTCATAAGATAATTCACCAATCTTCCATCTTGTTCTTTTCTATCTCCCATTAATCTAGACTTATTTTTTTCTCTTTCCCCCCTTTATCCTTATCATGATTAAGATATGCACGCACGTCAAACATTCACGGATGTGACAGTCTGTTTTCCAGGGTACATGCCAGTGTGTGCATGCTGTGAGGTCAGCAGAAGTGAGGCTGTCTTAGGCATGGAACAGTGGACTGACATGCATGCTGTTGGCCAGATGCAGAGCCAAATCTTAAATGGCTGTGGTGTGGGTGTGGGGCTCTAAGCTTGGTCAAGGTGTCCAGGCAAGCAGTCAAGGAGATCTTGAATTTCAGCATGTGGGTGTTTATTTCCAGAACTGTTTTCATAGTAGGGTTTTGTTTTGGTTTGACAGGGACATTACATTCTCCTTACAGGGTTCACAGGCCCAGGTGGTCCCAGAAAAAAGGCGGCTGACTCCTGCCCCCTGGTGGCTGCTATGAAATAATTCATGGCCCAGAAGGCCTGGCTTAGTTCAGTTCCGGGATGCCCTCAGCTAACCTAACAGCCGCCAAATCTGCCTGTAAAAACCAGTGCTCGTTGAGTCAGTGTCCTTTGCAAACATCAGTGCGGTCTCAGACCTTCTAGTTATGGCAACTGAAACCTTATAGGGAGTGTCCTAAGGCAGATGCAGGTCTTGAGGTCTTCAGCAGCAGATGCCAGAGGCCTCAGAGAAGAGGGTGCAGGGGCTGGCACACAGGGTAAGAACTGGCCGGTTGTCTGGACAAGGAGAGGAGCCCAGGGTGGGGCTACCTGTGTGGGCATGTTTAGTACTGAGTCCATGAAGAACAGAAAGTTTCAAAGCTTCCTCCTGTGTGGTGGGGAGAGGGCTCACTCTCTAGAGGGACAGCAAGAGTCTGAGGTGAACTGGCCTCTTCCCAAATCACCAACTATTTCTACAGGGCTGAGGTGACTGAGCACTCACAACAGGGCTGGTGATGTAGCTCACTTGCCTAGTATCTGTGAGACTCTGGGTCCCTTCCCCAGTATCACAGAAAAAAGCCACTTCACACACACACACCTCCATGACATGATAACCATAGCCTTCCTGGTGGTCATGCCATGACCCAGCAAGAACGGCTGAGGGCTGTTGCTTGTGCTTCCTCACATAGATTCCCACACAGTTTTGTAGACATTTCCCCTCTCCTGTTACACAATTCAGTGTGTGTTTACAAAAGATAAAAACGAAAGCAAGACACTTGCTTTGCTGGAACCACAGCGATGGCAAGAATGGGAGGTAACATTGACACCACGTGCTCCCGTGAAGCCTAGGTCTTAATCTGAGTTTCCCAGCTGTGCCAGCTAGTATCTGGTGCCTGGTGCCTGGTGCCTGGTGCGTATCTGTCTCTGCCCATGTATCCTTCAGGCCTCCCAGCCTCTCCATCTGTTCACGCTGCTCACACTTTCCCCTGGGGCATACACCTTACATGTTATAGAAGACCCTTCCTCTGGGGTGTTCCTTCCCCTCCTGGTGCTGGACTATCCTGGCACCCTTAGGAGCTGCCTGGATGTGGTATCACTGTATGGTGTGTCCTGTGGGGAGGTGCTTGCTACTACTGTGTCTCACTAGTGCTGCGATTCATCTCAACACTGTATCAGTTACTTTCCTATTGCAGTGATAAAACATCATGACCAACACAATTTATAGAAGAGAGGGGCTCGAGAGATGGCTCAGAGGTTAAGAGCACTTGGTTGCTCTTCCAGGGGTCCTGAGTTCAATTCCCAGTAACCACATGGTGGCTCACAGCCATCTATAGGGAAATCTGATGCCTTCTTCTGGCATACAGGTGTACATGCAGACAGAACACTCAGATACATAAAATAAATGAAGAAATAATTTTTTAAAAATATTTTTTAAAAAAGGAGAAGAGAGAGAGAGAGAAAACTGGAAGTTTGTGAGGCTTTTTCTTTGGAAGCCTGTCCCCAGTGACACACTTCACCCAGGCTGCACCACCTAAACCTCCCCACACAGCAGCACCAACTGCGCATCAAGTGCTCATGTGCCTAAGACGATGGGGACAAGTCTTACTGAAACCACCACAGGTACCTTGGGCCTTTTCCCAGCTGAAAGTCATTACATTCCCCTCATCCCCATCAAGTAGACGGAGCCTTTGAGGCTGTTCCACATTAGCCCTGGAGGCTGGCCTGCAGCAGTCCCTGTGACGATGATGGCGGCTGAGTGGCGTCTCTCGTTCCTTGACTTCTTCTACCTGAATTATTGAGCCCCTGCGGAGAGGAAAGTTTTCTTCCCACACGTTTCTGTAATTATCCACTTACCTGTGTATGCAGGAGTTCAGGGGCCTCAGCCCTCCTGTAAACCTTTATTACTTGCTGTTCGTCACCGGTGTTTGAACACTCTGGTTTGATTTCCAGCACTCACATTACAGCTCACGGCCATCTGTAGCTCCATTCCCAGGACACTCAAGGCCATCTTCTGGTCTCCTTGGGCGCCAGGAACACACATGGTTCGCATGCATACATGCAGGCAAAACATCCATACACATCAAATACATAAACCTAAAAGAAAAACAATAGTAAATGCTTCTGTGAAGTAGCTGTAGAAACGCTGGTTAGGCTTAGTCATGAAGCTGAGGATTCCTTTGTGTGTCCGTGTGCTGCTAGGGTGGGCCCACCGTGCCCTGCATAGGAGGCCTGCATACTAAGCCACGTCCCCAGCTCCAATGGTGCAGTGTTTGGGGGTAAGACAACAGATCCAGAAGAGGATTTCTATCCTTAATCTAAATGCACACAACAGTGAACTCCAATTGGGCACACCCCGAGCGTCCCTCCAGTGAGGCATGCCATGGGTCCCTGTGCCAGGCTCCCTGAGCACCCACGGAGAGCCGCACTTCCACACAGACAGCTGCTGCTTCCCGTCAAGGGCTCTTCCTTTGCTCAGGCTAAGCAAGCAATAACCACCGACCCCATTTATGTACCCTCTGAAAAGTTCCTGGAATTCCAGACATCACACCATCGCAGAAACTGCAGCCAGTGAAACCACGCCTCTGCTAGAGCATGAGGCAAAATCATGGTCAGCTTTGGCGGACAGTGTGAGGCAGCCCCACATTCCCACACCCGGAATTGAAATGATAGCACATCCTTATAATGCTTCCGTGGTTTTTAAGGAAACCAAAATTCCAGAATTCTCAAAAATGTCATGCTACACAGTGGGCTTGAAGATAAGTTGTCTTTTTGTCTTTTAAAGTAGCATCTGGATAAGAGAAACAAGCTCCCTGTCACACACCACACTGGCTGGGCCAGCACACAGGGAAACACAGGCTGGGCCAGGACATCTGGGAGCCATGGGATAGAGTCCTGCCTGCCCTCCCAGCCGGGCCTGAGGCCCAGTTTGTGAACAACTTGCTGTGGCTCAGATGCTGTTACTTTTGTGACTATCTATGTCTGCTCTGGTGCCCTTGCCCAGATCATGGGGAGGCATCTTGGTGGCTCAAATTCTAAGTTTCTGTGCATAACTTTTCTGTAATGTCTGGCTCTCCAGCCTAGAGTGAACACAAAGCTAACCCTCTCACTCTGGCAATCAGTGAGTGTGTCTCCTTTCCTGTCCACACTCAGGGCTCCATTTTTTGTTTTTTTCTTTCCCTTCCTGCCTTGTATATTTGTCTTTGGCTGAATGAATCAAGCTTCTTCTCCATGGCAGGCATCATCTTCTGAAGACATGGGCAGATGGATTGGCATCTTACTGGCTGAGACGGGGTCATCAACGGACCCAGGAGCCCTGCACTATGACTACATAGATGTGGAGATGTCAGCGAATGTCATCCAGACGGCCAAACAGACCTTCTGGTAAGGCTTGCACTCGGCCTGTGGAAGGCCAGCAACATTCTTCTTCTACTGTGTGATAGTAGGTGCTGGGTGAGCATGAGGACCAGAAGCACACCTGAGGACTTTTCCTTGGTGGGATGCTGGCCCCGATGAACCTGATGTTGGTCATTTCAGCCCTCTTGGGTTTCTGCTAGAGCAGGCTTGGCAGACGTGTCTGGAGATAGGAGTACTGTCTTCGTGGGCCAGATGATCCCTGTCATAGCCGCTCAGCTCTGTCCTCACAGCCAGAGACGATAAAGGATTGCGGCTGCTTTTGTGTGCACCAACAGGTGATATTCCTGACTTTGCCCTGTGGGTAGCTGTTGCCAGTCCCCTACTGAGACGGGCCTTCTGGAAAGCGGAAAAGATTCTGTCATGTTGCTGAAACAAGGCCCAAGATCTCAAAGCCGTCAGTGCAGCGCTTTCTAAATTTAGGTTGTGACAAATAATTCTACTTTGGGCAAATGCATATTTTGAGCCAGAATGCATCATGAACATAACAATAATGAGGGGGTTGCAGCAGCAGTTCCTGTGGGGTCCACAGCCCAAGAGGGCATCGGCATCATCCGCTATTCCCCAAAAGGTGAAGGTGTTTCCCATAGTCGCCTGAGATGTGTTCTTCTTTCTCGCTGCTCTGACACGGCACTGTTGTCCAGGCTGTGGTGGTGAATGGGCCTCTCCACAGCACTGTGCTCCTCTCACACACTGTGGAAGTAGGGAATGCTGGACAGCCTTGGACTCTGGTGTTTTGAACGCCATGTGAGCTTCACATGGCCAGGGATGCAGAGCCACACAGCAGGCACAAGGAGGACTTCCAGGCAGTGGGTTGCCAATGGACCTGGCTGCCATTCCCAACATCCTAGTTTTTACCTTGAAAGACAACCAATGGGCGAGAGATGTAGCTGAGTTGGTGTAATACTTGCCTAAGCATGTGCAAGGCCCTGAGTTCAATTCCCTGCAGCACACCAACTCCTGCATGTCTCTAATCTAAGCATATGGGAGGTGGAGGCAGGAGGATCTGAAATTCAAGGTCATTGTTGTCTATATAGTGAGTTCAAGACTATCCTGAAATACGTGAGACCATATCTAAAAAAAATAAAAATAAAAATAAAAATAGGTCAACTGATAGACTTCGGGCCTTTCAGACATACATTATCTTAAATGGACCCATTGTCCCTGTCCCTCTAGGAAAGCAATTAGCAAATTTTGAGCCAGCAAAGGGAGGCTACACCAAAGGTCGTTTCCACCTCAGAGGGCCACTTCTGATGAGAAAGTGGCAGAATCACAGAGTGGGACCCACTCTGAGGTGGACAGTGGGGATGGAGACAGGATGAGGCCCATCCCTAGGGCGTTGTCAACCTGTGGCCTCCATGTCAGGGTGCAGAGAGTCTGACAACCAGTCACTAAGAGACTGCCACTCATTAAATTTTGGTGTAGCATTGAAGACTGTCCACAGACACCTGAGAAGCTGTGGCTATGTTCCCCTCCCTCCCAGCTTCACAACGTGCATACACACACATATATGGATGGATGTATACATATACACACATACATGTGTTGACTATGGTAAAATATAGTAGGCTCATGATTATTATTTTTAAATGACTACATTTCCCACATTTTCTTTTAAAGTCAGTAGGCAGTGGGCGAGAAATCTTCACAGAAGAGCTGAAACCAGTCATGAGTTCCTAACACTAGGTCAGTTGTGACATGCTGGCATGCAACCCAGACACGTAGGTCAGCCTCTGTGTCTGGCCTCTTTATTTCTTTTTAACCTTTAAAAAAGTATTTTAAAAAATATTTTCATGAAATATATTTTGAGTGCATTCTTTCCTTTCCCTAACTCCCCCCAGATCCTCCCCAACCACTCAACTTCATGCTTTCTCTCTCTCCCCCAAACAAAAACAAAAAATTAAGAAAAATGAACCAAAAAAGACAAAGGCAAAAACAAAAACAGAAAACACCAAACCATAACAAAAAGAGCATGCATGAAAAAACCTGAGGTCCTTTTTGTGTGTGCTACTACTCCTGGGCATGGCCAGGCCTAGAATGCAGCTGATAGGCCTGGTGGCCCTCATTTGGAGAAAATGTGTCCCTTTCTTAGCAGGTATCAGTCACAAATACATTCCTTGGGTGCTGGGATTGGGACTGGGACAGGGTCTCTCTTTGTATCTTTGGCTGCCCAGGAACTCACTATGTAGATCAAGCTGGTCTCAAACAAGTAGAGGTCTACCTGCCTCTGTCTCCCGAGTTCTGAAACGAAAGGCATGCAACCACCATACCTGGCTTCTTGGTTTGTGGTGGGACTTGGTGTCTTCTTTCTCTTCTCCAGGCTGGGATTTTGTCTGTTTTGAACCTATACAGATCTCGTGCATGCTGCCACAGTCTCTGTGAGTTCATATGTGTCTGGAAGACACTGCTTTCCTTGGAGTCATCAACCACCTCTGTCTCTTAAAATATTTCCGCCTCTTCTTCCTCATAAATCCCTGAACCTTGAGGGGAGGGGTTTGATGAAAACGTTGCATTTGGGACTGAGTGCTCCTGCTCTCTACACACTTTCCATTGTAGATCTCTGTGTTACTTACCATCTGCTGCAAGAAGCAGCCCTCTTTGATGGGGGCTGAGCAATGTTCTGATCTTTGAGTATGTCTTTAGGAGCCATTTTATTGCTATGTTCCTTTAGCAGAATAATAGTAGTAGGTTTTCCTCTAGGACCTAGTTAGCCTCAGGTTGTTAGCCACTTTAGCAGTGTTAGGTATGAGTTCCATCTCATGGAGTGGGCCTTAATGTCAGTCAAAGAATGGTTGGTTGCTACCATAAGAGTTGTGCCACTATTACATCAGTATATCTTGCAGAAAGATTGCTGTTGTGGGTCAATAGGGTTTATACCTGGGTTATATTAGTGATTGTTTTTCTCCTCTTGTAGTGTAATCAGCAGTGGTAAAACTTCTTATTGGGCACCAGTTTTCTTCATCCAGGTTTTGTGGGATAAGTAAGAGGTATCTTTAGCAACAGGGTCTTACCATCAGGGTGTGGAAGTGACCAATAGCACTAACAATAGCCTGTAACATTGGGGTGGCTATGGGAGCTCTTTGATAAATGACTCATAAGCTATAACCCATTTCTGCAACCGGGGGGTTTTACTTGGTGGCATAAAAAGTCTAGTTGGTGCATTGTTTCCCCCATTAAGTCGTGTCTCCATTTAAATTACTTTTTATATGTTTTAGGAAGCTTCTACAGTAGTAGGGTTCCAAGTGGCTTTTCAAAAGGCCTTTAATGTTAAATTTTCCTCCCATATTTCCTTCTTTATCTTTGTCCTTGCCTTCCTCTCCCCATTTAATTCTTCTGTTCTACTTCTACTTTAGAACTCTATATCCTATTTCCCCTTCCTTGGGACATCCCCTCCTCCCCCCTGGTCCCTTGCAAGCTACCTAACTCCTGTGGATATTTTAAATGAAAAAGATTCTGTATGGCAAAGGGCACCATCATTCCAACAAAGTAGCAGCCTACAAAACAGAAAAAAAAAAAAAAACTTTACCAGTCGAACATCTGACAAAAGGATTAGTATCTAGAATATGCATAGATCTAAAAAGTCTGAACACCAAGAAAGCAAATAAGCTAGTAAAACAACAGGGTATAAAAGTATCTTAGGGTTTCTATGAGAAAGCATGACCAAATGCAACCTGATAAGGAAAGTGTTTATTTCAGCGTATAGTTTCACATCACAGTCCATCATTGAAGTCAAGGCAGAAACTCAAGCGGGAAACCTTCATACTGTGATGTCTCCACAGCCTGGCATGCTGACAGCTGTTAGCTATACTTATGTGGAAGTTACTAAAATCCCCAAACAAAACTTACCCAAACAAAACTTACCCAGTGTTAACTCTAACTGGCAAACAGACTACCGCATTCAGGAGAAACCCTGAATGAAATATTTGCCTCTGCATACAGTTCAGCTTTTCCTTTAAAACCGGGCAGAATTTTAATCTAAACCAAATGTGGGGCGGTCACATCTTGGAGAAAGGAATGCAGGTCGCTGTATCAAACACTCATCATTAAAAAAGGCACATGCCATAAACTTAGCTTAGGAAGCTTTTTTTTTTTCACCTCATTAAAATCTTTTTAGGGACGTCAGCTAGCAATAAAGTTAATTTTCATGTTTTAGTTTTCTAGCCAAACATTCCCATAAAACTTAACAGAGAGGAGACTGAACAAGGAAACAGCCTTCAAAATATGGTAGCATGCCAAGTGATAGTGTGGGATTAAGTTAATTTTTCGCTTTTTATAAGTTGGCGGCTGTGCGGTGAATCTTTGCCAAATGATTATGAGAATTATCAGCAACTGTGTCTGAATGAAGGAAAGAAGGAAATAAGGTTCTGAAGAGAAATATGAAACAGAGAAAAAATAAAACCTGGGTGGCTCTGCCAGGATGGGCACACAGCAGTGTGGATGATGCTGGACACTGGGACGTGTCCCGAGGCTGACCAAAGACCGTCATGTGAAGAAAGGACAGTGCCCTGGCACTTCCCCTCTCACAAGTGATGCCCACTGGAGGCCAGGCAGAGCATGGTGGTGGTAATGGTGCTTCTGCCTTCATAGAGAGGGACAGGATGGGGAGAGCCACCCTCCAGCCACCGTCTTCAGGTCCCTGGAGGTCCTTGTGTTTACATACAGTGGTCCCTGGGGTGGCCTTATGTTTTAGATGCAGACTCATTTTCACTTACACGTTTGGCTGAAAGTCAGTGTGGAAGGACACTAGAGGTAAGTGAGGGAGCCCCCCTGCTTACTCTTGGCTCCACATGAGTCCTCTTTACTGGCCGGTGCTTCTCTCTGTAAATGTTGGGATGTTCTGGATGGTGGAGAAGGCCTCTGCCGACAACGGGGTGTGTGTGTGTGTGTGTGTGTGTGTGTGTGTGTGTGTGTGTGTGTG